CCCTTTCTCAGTGCTACCCCTGGCACAAACAAATTTATTTAAGGAAGACAGTAAAAGCCTTTGGTAAAGACTTGGGAACTGAGGCTAAAGTCTGTGTAATTATAAGTGGGCTATAAGAGTTCAGAAAACATGGCTTTTTTGTTAGTATGAGAATTTTTATCCTTTTAACTTTTATTTCTAAATAATTGTAAACACATGAAGTTGCAAAAATATTACAAGAGGTCCCATGTATGTGTTACCCAGCTTCTCCCAATGGTAACATCTTACATACCTGAAGCAACACTAAAAAGCCAGGACATTAACGTTGCTACAATACAGTTAAGTTGACTCTAAACTTAACTGGAATTTCATCTGTTTACCTTTTCTTTTATCTTTAATGTCTTTAAGTTACAAAACCAATTTGTTCATCTATGGATGAACGAACAAGAATTGGTACATCCAGACAGTGGAATGTTATTTGGCCATAAAAAGGAATGAAGTACTGATATACCTGCTACAACATGTATGAAGCTTAAAAATGTTATGCTGAGTGAAAAAAGCCAGACACAAAAAGATTATATATTATAAAACTCCATTTACATGAAATAACTAGAACTGGTAAATCCTAGAGATGGAAGAGTGTGTTACCAGAAGCAGGGAGGAGAGGAGAATGGAGAGCATGTTCCCAAGGTAATGGGAACCATACCCATAAGGTTTGATGAAGACGTCTTGGATTTAGACATAGGCGGTTTTATCCAATATTATGACTGCACTAAATCCCACTGAATTATTCACTTTAAAATGGTTAGTTTTATGTTACATGAATTTCACATAAAAATTAAGTAATTTGCTTGTTGTAGGAACATCTAACCATAAAATTGTAAGTAAAAAATTTTAATTTCTTCTCCCAGCTGCTCTCCTCCACATCCAATCCTACCCCACATGTATAGCTTCCATTAACTGTTTAATATGTAACTGTTTACACTTTTTAAAGTTTTAGAACATACAAAGAGATACATATGTTTCTTTCTCTCCCAAATGTTTACTGAATACTTTATCCACCCAGGCAATGTTGTGGCTTATGGGAACACAGTAACGAATAAGACAGACTAATGGAATTAATGTTCTAGTAGGAGGAGATTGGTAGTAAACGTAGGAATGACTAAGAACTTCAGATCATGACAAGTGCTGTGAAAAAATAAAACTGGGTAAAAGGGCAGAGAGTGATGTGGGTTGGGGGAGGGCCAGGGTGACTAGGAGAGGTCTCTGAGAGAGGTCACAACATTTAGCTGAATGAGAACAAGGAGCTAGAACATGCCAGGGACTTCAAAAAGATAGATATTTTTTAAGAAATAAGATTGTGCTAGATACACTGATTTACTATATAGTCTACACATACTAGATATCTTCCTTATTTCCATATATTAAAAGTGGATTTCCATGTTGGTACCTAATCTGTTTTACTTTTTGATAACTGCATATTATTCCATAAAATTGATATAATATCACTTGTTTAACCATTTCCATTTTGATGAACATTTAGGTTGTTTCCAGGTTGGAGTTATTGCAAAAATGCTGGAAAGAACAGCTTTTCACACTTGTGCTCATATTTCTGTAGAAAATATTTTCAGGAACAGGACAGCTACATCAGTGCCCATTTGCATTATTACCCACTAAAACCTTGAGACTGTGAACTTTCCTATCAGTCTTATGGTCAAAAAAGGTAAACTCTTACATTGAAAAAACAAAACAGAGTACTGTGTAATTGACTAAAAAGGGACAAATACTGAGGCCCTGATTCAGTTTGAAAGCAGAATAATTATGGGAAGATATGAACACAGCAGAGAACAAAAGCCAGGGACTACTAGGAATGTCAGCTGGTAGAATTTGCAATGGAAGATGGACATTATCTGTTGTGAAATGACTCAGACCTTGAACTGAGCATAGCTTTGTGAAGCACAACTGTTGTTTAAGTTCACCCTGTGTGTGCATCACAAAATAGCATAATGTCCTTGGAAAAACTCAGAGTTGATAGTCCTGTGTCTCAACAGCCCTAAATGAGGTGAAAAAAGGCAGTATAATTCCCAACTCCCTATTAATTCACCCATTCTTTCATTCAACATTTATTAAGGTTGCTTTCAATGCCAGACATTCTACTGGCATTTGGGGATATTAAAAAGATGAAGAAAAGACCCTGACTTCAAGCTCCTCAGTCTTAGCTTAATGGTTACTATCAAGAAGCACTTCTGCCCTTGTTGGTGCAGTTCAGTGGATGGAGAGCCGGCCTGCAAACTGAAAAGACACCGATTCAATTCCCAGACCTGGATTGCCAATCAGGTCCCCAGGTGGGGGCGTGTGAGAGGCAACCGATTGATTTATCTCCCATACATCTCTCTCTCCCCCTCTCTCTCTCTCTCTCTCTCTCTCTCTCTCAAAAAAAAATAAATACATATTTTTTTTAAAAGAAAGAAAGAAAAAAGAAGCACTTCTCATTCTCTGGCTAGAGAGGTGCCTTAACCCTAGCTGGTCAGGCTTTTGCAAACCAATGGACTGGATTCTTTCCTGAATATCCATAATTATCCCAGCCAGGGATATGGAAGTTAATGACATCAACTGCTTTTCTAAGTTGCACTCTTGGCAGTTTCCATCTTTGTCCCTAGGAAAAGTACCAGGCATAAAGAAAGTCTAATGTGATTTAATTAGATGTGAAGAATCGAGCCATCAGAGCAATCATCCAAGGTGCTATGGGTGACACATTTTGAAGGATGGTATCCAGTGACAAAGTGATGGGAGAACAGGGTAGTTCACGGTTTGAGTTAGCTGCTTGTGTTGACAATTCCTTTGGAATAGGTAGGGAATGCAAACCTTGAGTGACAAGGCACTTTATTCCACACACATTGTATTTTCTTCCTGTGAATATAGGATGAAAACATCTATCTCATTCAACAGCAATGCAGGTCTCCTATGTAAGTTCTCTGTAAATCTGAGGGCAATCACTTAATACCAACTTTAAAGTGGAACACTTTTAAGAAAAGGTCAATTGGGTGTTCAGAAAACTGTAATAGGCTGTACCCAGAACTTTGTATTAATCAGAGGAATACATTGCTGTGCGGGGTGGGGAGAATGTCCAAAAGATTTCAGGGAGCACGGACCACAGACCTGATAAGAAACTTAAACCCAGTCTTGTTAAATATAACAGAGGTCTCTGGTTTCTTCACATTTAAAAACATTTTTTAAAATTTTGACTTTACAGAGAGAGAAAGGGAGAAACACGTTGATTTGTTGTTCCACCTATTTATGCATTCACTGGTTTATTATTTTATGTACCTTGACCTGGGATCAAACCAGCAACCTCGGGGGTTGGGGATGATGCTCTAACCAATTGAGAGCTACCAAGCAGGGGGTTTCTTTTTATTTTGTAGTACTTAATTTTTCAAGTGTTATGGGTTAAAGAAAAAGGCATACACAAAATTTGCTACTTTAATATTAAACACAATTTCAAGCCACTTTCTTGTAGGACTTACTTTAAAAGGTGACAGCTTCTTTTTTTGACCTGTCTCACTAGGCTGAGTTCTTTTTTATCTTTAAACTACATGTGTTTAAACTTAAAATGTATACAAGTACTGGCTGGTATGGCTCAGTGGATTGAGCACAGGCCTGTGAAGCAGGGGGTCCAGGGTTTGTTCCCAGTCAGGGCACATTCTTGGGTTGTGGCCCAGGTCCCCACTGGGGGACACACGAGAGGCAACCACACATTGATGTTTCTCTCCCTCTCTTTCTCCCTCCCTTCCCTTCTCTGTAAAAATAAATACATAAAATCTTTTTTAAAAACTTATATCAAGATCTAGACTTTCGTCCTTAGCATAAGGTTGTTAAAAATACCTATTCTCTGGTGTCCATGCCACCTGCTGGTTAGGTGCACTTTTTTCTAGCTCCTTGCAGAAAAATAACAGTGTTTTTTGCTGCATTCCATGTGAGTGAACTACAGGAACACTTCACGGATCCTCAGAGCCACGTTATTTTCCTACTTCATACAGTTGGATCTAAGTATTTCTATTTTTTTTTTCCTTTTCACATGTTTACCTAAACACAACCTTTCGGCGTGAGATGCAGTCAATAAACTAGTGCAGGAATAAACTTGAGCGAATCCGACCATTCAAAAGAATGGACCATTTTCAACTACTAGTGCATTAAGAAGCTAGCTGGACGCATCAAAATAACTCTTATTAGTTGGGTATGGTTGGATACATCAAGAATATGGCAATCCTCTGTTTAATTTGCAAAGCCCTTGGCCGGAAGGAGGAGGGGATGGAAAAGTTTGGATGAAGTATTTAAATGACTAGTCAAACAGTGAGTCATTTAAAGTTTCCAGTTAATAATACCTTCCGCAGGGGCAGAGCCTCGGCCCGAGCGCTTCACGAGCCACATCGCAATTTAAGCTGTAATGTCTCACGGTTTTACTGCCTCTTTCACCAAACGAGACATAAAATGAAAGACGCTCTGTGTCGGCTTTGAAAAGTAGGGTAAAATCTGGCTGGGGGAGGGGACAAGGAAGGTGGAAAAGAGAAAAGGTATGGAAACAGTGAGGCCGAGAAAGCTGCTGCAAAGAGAAGGAAGAATTTTTAGATGCTGAGAGCTTTTTTTTTTCCACGTTAGAAATGCTGTCCATTTTCCCGCATCCTGGGCGGAACGCACCACCCTTGCGGGCCAAGAGGCTCGCAGTCCGCGACCGGGCAGCGAGTCGTGTCGGGGCTTGCTTCTCTGCCTTCCTGCCCCCGTTCCGTGACAGGTGGGGCTGCGGCCACCACCTCCACGCCTCCTCGCGGTGCCTGCCGGGAGCCCCAGCGGCTTCCGTTTGCTCCGGACCCCGAAACTTCAACTCCCGTCGGCCCCGGCGAAACCGCAGCGGAGCCGCGCGGATACTGCCGGAACTCGTAGTTCCATCTTCTGCCGCGCTACCTAGCCAGCAACGGGAACGCAGAGGGCCGAGAACTACCACGGTGAACGTACGGGTGGCAGCAAGAGGTCGGCCCGCGGCAGGCGTGGGGTTGGCGCTGAGGCGGTCGGAGGTGATTGGGGTTGGGTGGGAGGAGATTTGCTCGCACACACGAGGAAGGTTGAGCTGCCGCTTGAGTGCGGAGTCGGGACTGGAGCTGCCGCCGCGACCACGCCAGGGATTTTGTCGCTAGCCCACGGCTCTTCTTCCTCGCCGCTTCCAGAGGTCAGCGCGGCCTGCTCCTTCTCGGCCGGTCGCCCCCGCCTCCATTTCCCGCCCTCTCTCCATCACACACACGGCCCCCCCGATCATGGATCCGGGCAGTGGTGGTGGTGGCGGCGGCGGCGGCGGCGGGAGCAGCAGCGGCAGCAGTAGCAGCGACTCGGCACCCGACTGCTGGGACCAAGCGGACATGGAAGCTCCCGGGCCAGGCCCATGCGGCGGCCCCGGTGGTCCCTTGGCCGCAGCGGCTGCCGTGGCAGAGGCCCAGCGTGAACACCTCAGTGCGGCCTTCAGCCGGCAACTCAACGTCAACGCCAAACCCTTCGTGCCCAACGTCCACGCCGCCGAGTTCGTGCCCTCCTTCCTGCGGGGCCCGGCCCAGCCGCCGCCACTCCAGGCTGGCGCCTCCGCCAACCACCACGGAGCCGACAGCGGCGCGGGAGGCTCTTCGGGTAAAGGGTTGGGACTTGGGGCAGCCCTAAGACATGGGGGGAGGCCAGGCTGCGAGGGCGGGAGCTGCGGCCCGGGGGCCTGGGCCCATCTAGGATGGGATGGGGATGCGTTATGGTCTGGCGGCGCGCCTCGCAGTGCCGGGGGATCTGGGACCCGGCGGCACGTGGGGCGCTGACAGCGGCGTCCGGCGCCGGCAGTCTTGGGTGGGGCGGCCCGAGGCCGGCGAGTCGGCCTGCGTGCGGTGGCCGTGGCGGAAGGCCGGGCGGGGCGGGAGAGGCGCGCTGGGGACGCTTGCGGGGCCAATGGCCCTCCCCTCCCCTCCCCTAGGATCACAGTCACCCACTGGAGGTGGAAACTGTATGGAATCGAAGAGGGGGCGGCAGCGGGGTCTGTAACAGCAGGCCTAGGAGTGAGGACAGATGAAGTCAGAAGTCCTTTGAGTGGGCTTTGAGAAGTACGAGGAGCTGGGGAGAACGAATGCTCAAGTTTCCCTTCACCTTTGGCCTAGGACAGAGAGCGTCTCTTCCTGCAGTTTCCATTATTGAAACTAATTACGTGTTAAATATCTATGGGCACCGAACCGGCCTGAAGGAATCCCAAGATGCATTGCAGTCTTGTGATGCGGCCGAAACTGTTGGCTGTCAATACAAAGATCTTTTTTACCCTTAGCATTTTGTAAGCTTGTAAAGTTCACAAAATAACACAAAGTTAGAATACTTGACTTAATGTGGGTAGGGAGCTACATTAATTTGTGTTAAGTGGAACTTGTACTTTAGTCCGTCGGTGACAGGTTTAGAATTTTCAGTGTGTCAATCGTTTTTGTTATTCAGGTTGCTGTTGTTCGTCTATTCAGACGGACACTTGAGCATTTGTTATAACTTAATAGTCACGTGCTGTTCTGACCATAGGTAGACAAACTTTCAGTGATTTCAAGTTCGGTCTTTAAAAATCTTCCTGTATTTAGGGAACGCTTCCGTGATAGCATGCTTTCAGGTACTGATTTTGGAGGAATATCAATTGAGAGAACATAAGTATTCTCCCTATATAAAAGGTGCTTATTTTGGGGACTGTCAGTAGTGGCTTAAAGAGAAAAAGGAGAGGGCTGATTGTCCTTGCATTTTAGCCAGGTTATGGAACTGGATCATAGCTGTTCCCAGCAATTTGTGAGAGCAGATTGTCGATTTCTCTTTTAAGTTTTATACTGTAGTATTTCTCAGATAAGTGGACACCATAAAAGTGCTCTACTTTAGCTTCTTCAGGAACTTTTGCTACAGTTTTCTCTCTAGAGGCAAAAAGAGACTTTGGAGAAACACTTTTGCAAGTATGTACGTATGTGAGTACATAGTTTGGATTTGATTGTTTATTGACTGGTATTTCTTTTACTTGTGTGAGTGGTTGATGTTTTCCCTTTGAGCAAGGAAGTTTAGTTTTTATTTCTTTGCTTAGATCAGGCCTCTTTGGCTACTTAAACTAGTCCTCTTACCAGCTCCCTAAAAGTGCCTGTTCGCAGTGCCTTATCATTGCCAGATCCCTTTTATCCAGACATTTTCTTTTTTGGCCCTCCCTCCTCACTCTGGAGCCACCAGCACCACTCTGGTTAGACCTATTTGCAAGTCTATCTTTCATCAGCCATCAGGGGATAGCCATCCTTAGAGCAGTGGTCTGGAATGGTGGTCGTTGTTGAGTGACTAGGCATTACCTCTTGCCCAGGAGAATGTTTCCTGTTCCTGATATTTGCTAATTTGCAATTTTACTCTTAATCAGCTTTTCTGTGACCTACTGAAAGTTAGAGATATAAAAATTTGTAGGAAAGTGTTTATAAGAAAAGTTCGTACATTATGGTCAACTTTTTCTTTTTTATCAGAGACCTATTTTAGTCTTACAGACTTTACCAGCTGCTTCTACAAAATGTCAGTTAATGTTGGATATCTGTTTGAAAAAGAGTGGATTTTTTAAATTGAGGTCCTGAGTTTTGTGGGACTTTTGGATTGCTGTACCAGCCCATTCAAGTCCATAAAATACCATCAGAGCAGAAAACTATGCTTAGAGAAGCTGGGGGGTGTGGGGGAGGGGCAGAATGGAAATAGAATTTAGATTGAAATTTACAAAGGATGAACCATAATGTTAGCAATTTTTTTATAGTGAGGAATTAAACAGTAGGGCTAACTTGTTCCTTTTTGTTGTTAAGCCATAGCTGAAATTTGTGGTAGGTGTGTTTTTAGACTGGATACCAGAAGGGCTCTTGAAGTAATGTAGAGGTAGAGTGCTATAATGAAAAACTTTTAAAAATATCTCTGACTAGGATGAATATGTCATTTCTTTTGAAAATAGGCTAGTTTCTTTGCTGTTTTTGAAAATCTATAGGGGTGTCGCAGGCAATCAGTAGAGGAAGATGCTTTTAATTGATTTTTTTTTGTTTTTGAAGAGTAGTAACATGCTTTTGTACAAAGTGTCATTCACTTTCACTGGAAGGCTGGCTGCTGGTTGTGCCTGTTCCCAGGCATCCCAGCTTGGGATTCAGTGTTGACCTAGAATCTCTTTGAAAATTTATTATAGGGTTCCAAAAACAGGATTAAGTATATAACCCATTCAGATATAATTCATTTTAGTTCAGTTCTCTACAGATCCAAGTAAATTGGCTAGGTAATGCTCTTTAACGTAGAGATCCTAAAATGAATAAAAATATAGAAGAGAAGGGTTATGTGTACTAGAACGAACGTTTTCTATGATAAAATGTATTTATTTTAATTTCCAGTTTGCACCTCGTTCATTGCTTTTTTTTTTTTTTTTTTTTAATAAATGAGGAAAAGGTTTAGCAGTGTTAATCAGGGTTACTTGGTGTCTTAAGCTCCTTTGGTCTGCAAATTACAAAATATTACAGCTGATAAACAACAGAAATTTACTGCTCACAGTTCTGGAAGCTAGAAGTCCAAGATCAGGGTGCCAGCCTGGTTGGACAAGGGCCCTCTTCTAAATAATTAGACTGTTGACTTCTTTCGTTCTCATAAGGCAGAAGGGGCAAGGGAGCTCTCTGCTGCCCCTTTTGTAAAGACGCTAATCCGATTCTTGAAGGCTCTGCTCTTTAGAGCCCTCCACAGGCCTCACCTAATACCATCACTTCAGGTATTAGGGTTTTCAACCTAAGGATTTGCAGGGTGGGACACAGATATTCAGACTACTTGGATTTTAGAGCAGCTTGAGCTTCAAAGTAATGGTGTAGTGTTCTTTCTGCTGTTTCACCCTCAGCACCTCTCAAAACCCTTCCATTAGAAAATAAGTATCGGATAAAACCAGCAGTCCTCAGTATAGGTCCCCAGAGGAGAAGGATTTATCTCCAGAGTGTAGCACATTGTATTGTGGAACTTGAATTTTAAAGAGAAATGTTTGTTTTGTAATGTTTGGTTTCTACTGACTGCCTTTTTTGCGGGGGACGGATTTTCTTTTCCTTTTTTTTTTTTAATGATTGAGATATTCATGTAGCCTTTTTAAAATGTATTTTTCAGTGGCTTTTAGTATATCCACAAAGTTATGCAGCAATCATTACTTGGTAGATGCTTGTTAATCACAGAATAGTCTCCAAGGTGACATCTCCAGAATAGAGAAGATACAGAATCAAAGTGGTAATGATTGTTTCCTCCAGAAGACTCTTACACTTTATTATTATTAACCATTACCTGTTGGCTGATAGATAATTTTAGATTGATAAGGTTCTTGGCTTTAGATTTGTTTCCCTTTTCTTCTAAGACTGAAATGCCTGCAATAACAATTCTGATATAAAGGATTTTTCAGGCTTTTGTGCAACAGTGAATGGAGTAGAGTATGCAGAGGTCAGGGAAAAGTATTGCACCTGGAGTGGTTTTTCCGCCTACCTTGGTTTACTGATTATTAGTTTATTGGATCTGGGCTCTTGTTTCATGATTTTATATGCTTGAATGACTTGAGTGGGAGGATTTAGGGAACTAGTGCTATGCCATGTTGAACAATTGTTTAACCTGTTAGAAATTTTGACTGGGAAGAAACTGCCTTGGATCGGGTTTTATTTAGCGCAGTGAGTACGTGGCTTTTTATGTTCTCTGTCGTTTATTTTTCACTTTTTCTGCAACCGTACTGCATGAAAAGGCAGCAATTAAAATTTATGAGAGCAAGGTAGGGAAATATTGTAGAGGACAATGTAGAGGACAGATTTTAAGCCTTGTTTTACTTAGTTTAGAGGGGAGGAAGTGTCAGTGTTGAAATAGTATTATCTTTCTGGTTGAAGAGAAAGGAAAATAAGATTTGATAACCTTTTGGGGTGAGTGAGCAATATTAGAAGGGAAATTTTTGAGATGTGAATCTCTGGTTTTACTCAGATATATGTGTAGCAGTTAATGAACTGCCTACAGAATGCAAGATGCTGTTTTAGGCACTTGTAGTGACACCACCAAGATGAGTCCAGAAAGGATTTACCCTAATGGAAGACACAACATAGTAACAGGCCTATACAGAGGGTGTAGAGGGCTTTCAAAGCTAAGAAGAGTAATTGTTCACAGCTTCCCTTATGTAAATAATTTCAATCTTATCACCCTAATCATGAAAGGAAAGATCTATCTATATTATAAGTGTTGTGAATACCTTAAGTTTTTTAAGTTTGCTAGGAATTTGCTAGAGTTGAGTTTTGGGTATCTTTTTACACTACCTGTCTCTTTCATATTAAACAGCAGTGAGTTTGGTTATTGTGATTCTCACTGGTGTTTCTGTGGAGCATGTTAATTTAGAATGTCATCATTCTGCTCAAAGTTCTTCGCAATCTTTGGGGAGCAAGATTTTGTTTACTAGTTGACTATTGTTGATTGTTCTGAGAGCCTCAGATTCCTTTTTTTAGCTGTCATTTAGCTTTGATTCATACCAAAGTTTCTTAAGAGTTTTGCCTTTGTTTTCAGTAGATTTTAACAAAGCATTACTGGGCTACAGATGTATTTGTTTGTTTTTTTGTTTTGTGTTTTTGTTTTTCATAAATGGC